TACCTTCGCCGATTATGCCCCGGAACTTCCCCGACTTTGAAACATCATCAGGGGAATATCCCCGTAGATTAGGGGATGCATCGGTGAGTAGCCTACTTGTGAACCATCCCAGGTGCCTCGGGGAAGCGTTATTGGGGAGGTATATACTGTAGCGAGCTACAAGGTGCAACCAGCCTCTATAATTATCAAACAGTTTGAATGGGAATCTAGTGCGAGACGCCAAGCAGGGTTTAGGAAAGAACTTTTTTTACTGAAAAATCCTCTAACCTCCCTGTGCACTCCCTGTAACTCATTCCACCACAAAAACTGATAGCCTATCGCCGAATGAAAACTTTTTTTTTTTAGCTCGTATTCACTCCACTTACTCCTGCCCCGAGTTACTTTGAACGTTGTTTCCCCCTCTCATATTCCCCCTCTAGCCTTTATTTTTACAATTTCGTTAATTTAATATTTTCTCTTAATTTTGATATATAATTGAAGTTTGTTTAATGACGAGAAGGCTGTCAGGCATTGCTTTGTTTAGCTGACCGCCACTTGCGTCTGGCAAGCGCATCTGGTTGTTATAATGTGTACTGCAGCGGCCCAAACTTTTCCTTTAGAAATGAAGCAACTATTTTTATATTATTCTTTTTTTTATTGAGTGGCTGGATATACATATTTAGTTTTCTTGCAGGTGTCTAGGCTGGGGCCTGCAATTTGGGTTATTTATTTTCCGCAGATAAATGTGTTTTTTTCCCTTAACTTGTTAATTTTTTCTCTTGACGTATGCTAAATAATGTTATGATTTGAGCAAACGAAAGTGCCTCTTTATTTGTTGGTACAATACAAGTTATTTACTTTCTCATAATTTTGTTAAGGAGTTTTTCCGTAAGATGCTGAAGTGGAGCTGAACACAACTCATTTATTTTGGTCTAACAGACGACCTGGCGCCCGGACAAAACATTGATAAAATAACTGTGTATGGCTACGCTATAATATATGCACATTTTGGGCTCAGCATCGTTCTCTCTCTGGCATGTACTTATATGAAATGTACTTATAGTGCGCGCGAATGCAAGATCCAGCCAATCAGCGCCATGGGAAGAATGCACTTTTCAACTGTCGCCGAAATTTCGGCGAATATTCGGGGATGCAACCCCAACATCGGGAATGTGTCACCGAAAGGTCACCGAACTTTCACCGAAGATTCAAATATCCCCAAAGGTCCCCTGATACTTCGGCGAGAAGGGGATGCCTCGGGGAAAACAATATTTCGCCGAAGCTTTCCCGTGGCTCTGGAAAGCTCCAGCGCGGCCTCCCCGGCCTGTTTTCCCGACAAAACGTCGGGAACACATCGGGAAAAATTTCAATGCAAGCAGTGAAATTTTTCGCAGTTCTCCGGATGCTTCCCGATGGTTCCAGATGGCTCGCGACGCTCCCGAAGCTTCCCCAGGACATCGGGGAACCTGTTCCCGAGCTGCATCAATTTCCATCGGGAGTACATCGCTGAGGTAAAAAATGCCCAGTGGGACTGAGCCTTTAGGTTTCCTAATTACCAACTTAACATTAATTTGTTCACTTGCGATAATCAATCCGTATCCATTTCCCCTCATCTTACATTATTGTTTACTGCAACAATTATAAAGCATTTTCCCATCCATATAATAGTAGACCTAACATAAAACGTCAATGTCTTACGAAGCCTCACAAAACTTTTTTTTTTTCCTTCTTACTGCGTTTGTGTCCAATCGGTGCAATACATCTAAGTGAATCTTCCTAAAAATGCAGTTATGCGGACTCCTACATGTTAAGGCTGCTCATGTAAAAATAAAACTTTGTCTGCACCCAGTGACATTACCATAATGCAGGTTAACACTCAACCTATTTCGGGTAATAGATTGAATTAATTTACTGAACAAATGGGCCTTCCATGGTTCGACAAGTACAGTTGCCTGCTGGCCCGTGGCCACTAGGAGACGATGTCAGGCTACTAGAAACTCTGAACTGGTAGTTCGATCAGGCCACCACTGAAAAAATAAAATCTAAGAAAATTTGCCGCTCGTTTTCATTTTCATGGGCGCAATTATCTTAAAAATGGTCCTCTGAGGATATGTCCATGCAGGACGTTTCTTTCAACTTTGGTCTGCTTTTCTGGTCGGTCGAGATAAAAAGTTTGGGAAGTGGCTATTCGCCCCACATGCCGGGAGGATTGTGTCTAATGGGGGATAACCGAATCATTTTCAAGGGAAAGTATTTGCAACCAATATGGTAGTCAGTCTTATATTAACTACTGTGACATTGCACTATCAAATCGAAAGGTTAAAGCCAGTCAAAATAATTTGAGTGTCATGCTTGCCAACAAATCTTGTTTAAGAGAACAAATACGTGGTGCTGGGAAGTAGCAACGCATTATACGGCAGACATGTGAATGAAAATTGTCAAATCTAGATAGCAAAATGTCAAAACAGCTCAAATTATCGGCTTGGATGTCATTGGATGACGGTGACCAACCTTCGTCAGACCCCCAACCATCGTCGTCATCCTCCCAGTCTGGCTCAAGTGATTCACAGAAGGGAAGGAAGCCGTCCCAACTCAAATATGAGACCAAACGCCCGAGAAACTTTGTACCAGAGTGGGCGAAAAAATACCCTGGAATATTCGAGCTTGATGGAATGATTTACTGCCAGCCGTGCATCACATACCGTTAAAGTTAATTCATGCTCTCACATGCTGCCAGTTCACTCCAGATTTTTTTTTTTTTTTAGCTGGCACTGATTTATAACTTACATTATTTTACTATACTGTTTATTCAGTCAGCAGTGTTCATAACAGTCTGTTGATTAAAACCTTTACAGTTTTTGAGTTATCAATAATTCTAATTTATTCATAGGCTCAATGATCTAATTAAATCATATTTTAATGCAAATCATTACAGAAAAGGTAATTATCATGGAATTCAATCAGTGACAGTTTTAATTTTTCTTGATAATGAATGTAACAACTACAACACCAATTCCGAAATAGTTGGGACAAAGTGTAAATTGTGAATAAAATCAAAACGCAATGACTTTCAAATCACACCAGCCAGTATTTTATTCACAATTGAACAGAGATAACATAGCAAATGTTGAAACTGAGAAATTTTACAATGTTATCCACAAAATGAGCTCATTTCAAATTTGATGGCTGCTACAGGTCTCAAAAAAGTTGAAACAGGGGCCTGTTTACCATGGTGTAGCATCCGCTCTTCTTTTTAACACAGAGTGGAGGCGTCTGGGCATTGAGGAGACAAGTTTCTTGAGTTTAGCCATTGTAATTTGATCCCACTCTTGTTTAATTCAGGCTTCCAGCTGCTGGAGAGTTTTGGGTCTCCTTTGACAGACTTTTCGTTTAATTATGCACCAAATGTTCTCAGTCGGTGAAAGATCAGGACTGCAGGCAAGCCAGTTCAGTACACAGACTCTTCTACTATGAAGCCATGCTGTTGTAATAGCTGCAGTATGTGGTTTTGCATTGTCCTGCTGAAAGACACAAGGCCTTCCCTGGAATAGATGTCATCTGGAGGGAAGCATATGTTGCTCTAAAACCTTTATATACCTTTCAGCTTTCATGATGCTTTTTTAAACATGCAAGTGTCCTACACCATATGCACTAATGCATCCCCATAACATCAGAGATGTTGGCTTTTGAACTGATTGCTGATAACAGGAGGGGTGGTCTTTCTCCTCTTTAGCCTGGAGGACACGACGCCCATGATTTCCAGCAAGAATGTCAAATTTGGACTCATCTAACCACAGGACACTTTGCCACTTTGCTACTGTCTATTTTAAATGAGCCTTGGCCCACAGAACACGGCGGCGCTTCTGGATCATGCTCAAAAATGGCTTCCTTTTTGCATGATAGAGTTTTAGGTGGCATCTGTGGATGGCACGGCGGACTGTGTTTACAGAAAGTGGTTTCTTGAAGTATTTCTGGGCCCATTTAGTAATGTCAATGACAGAATCATGCTGGTGAGTGATGCAGTGGCATCTGAGGGCTCGAAGATCACAGGCATCCAGTAAAGGTCTTCGGCCTTGTCCTTTATGCACAGAGATTTTTCCAGTTTCTCTGAATCTTCTCATGATGTCATGCACTGTTGATGATGAGACCTCCAAAGCCTTCGCAATTTGACGTTGAGGAACATAGTTTTTAAAGTATTCCACAATTTTTTTACGCAAGCCTTCACAGGTTGGAGACCCTCTGGCCATCTTTACTTTTGAGAGACTCAGCCTCTCTAAAACATCCCTTTTATAGCCAATCATGTTTCACACCTGATGCCAGTTAACTTTATTACTTGCTAAATGTTCTTTCACCTGATTCTCTTATATATTACTTGCTTTTTCAGCCCTTTTTTGCCAGTGTCTCAACTCTTTTGAGACCTGTTGCAGCCAGAAAATTTGAAATAAGCTCATTTTGTGGATAAAAATGTAAAATGTCTCAGTTTCAACATTTGAAATGTTATCCATATTCTATTGTAAATCACATATTGGCTCATGTGATCTGAAAGTAATTGCATTTTGATTTTATTCACAATTTTCACTTCGTCCCAACTATTTCGCAACTGGTGTTGTATTTTAAAAATAGCTTTATAATGTGACATGGACATGCAAATGTCTCAGACCTTGATATTTCTTTGAAATTGAAATCCGTAACATTATGATATCATGCACAAGTTTGAGTCGTCATAATCTATCTATAAAGCAAGAAGTGTCTGTCTGTGTGTCTGTGGCTCACATATCTCTCTGACTGTTTGTCATATCGGCCTAAGCTTTCGGATATAGCTTGCGCATGGCACGATGGTGTGCATCCTACGGGCACTGCACTAGTTGAAATCAAATACTGTGAAGTGCATTTATGATTAATGATTCAATTAGAGCTTTATTTTATTACATTATTACTAAGAAAAAAAAAACAATGAATGAGTTGAAAGTCAGAGACTACATAGCACAGCTACAAACAATAACTACCACCAATGAAAGTAAAGCCACAGCCAGGATTCGAACCCAGGTCTTCCACAGCAAAGTTAGTCATGGATGTTCTAGCCGCTGAACTACCGCGGCAGGAAGGTAGCAATGCAATGCGTGTGTTTCATTATCATCTAAATAGTTTAAATGAAATAAGATCATTTGAAATGTTTTTGCAATTCCATTGCTTCCAATGATCTTATTTCATTTAAACAAAAACTATCATGAAACACACGCATTTCTTCCAACCCCTGAGTAAATAAAAGCCTGAGAAGTCTGGAGTCATAACGCAGGTGAAACTGATAAACCTCCATGCACAAGGACTTCAATTCCGCAAGAGAATGTCTTACATATGAGTTGATTGAATAATTGCTGACTACTGCAGGGGAACGTGAATATGCCACTAAAACCCACGTGGAATGCATGAGAGTTGACAGTTGTGTGTTATTAATGAAAACTGACCACACGTGGTAATGCTGAGAGTTTTCGGAGCTTTTGTAAAGGTAATATAACTGAATGATTGAAAACAGATCATGACCAATCTTTTTTTTCAAGGGATGGGTTTGAGCCTCCCCTATCGTCAGTTCACCAGCCGCCATATATATGCACTGACAGTTAATAAAAATGCAGCACTACTATTGTTGGTAAAATTCATACCCATGATGAACATGAACAAGTTTATGGAGTACAGATGTATCCACTGTGTCGTCAATGACCTGACCACTGAGGTGATTGCATTTCACGCTTCAGCAGTTGTACAATCAGCAGTTATGTAATCAGCCCATTGTTCCGAATCGGAGAGTTGGTCAAAACGGAAGGATTCACCAGGATGTGGCAAACAAGGTCCAATGAAAGCAGAACCCAAAAACAGTTTCACCTGAGACACGAAATTCACTATGCTGTGATGATCACGCGAACAACATCTCTGTCATTGCCGTCACAACTTTCCAGCAGGCTAACACACGTCCGCATACTGCGTTTGTCACCACTGCGTACCTGGTGGCAGAAAATATCAATGTGATGCCCTGGCCCACATCTTCCCAAGATCTCAACCTCATTGAGCATGCGTGGGACATCATGAAACGGTGCCTAGCAATACGTAGTCCACGTCCGCTCAACAGAAACCAGTTGATCCAGGTACTGCAGGAAGAGTGGAACTCGTCCCTCGACGGAGCCTGCGACAACTTGCGGCCAGTATGAGGCGTCAATGCACCTCCCGCATCAATGCTGCTGGTGGACACACTCAGTATTCAAGCCTGCAGGAGTCATCCTTCTTTGCCTGATGGGTCATAACTGCCTAACGATGATCTCAATTGCTTGTGTCATGTCTGTTGCAGCATTTAACTATATGTTATGTCACTACCTGGTGAATGAAAACAAAATGTTTCTGACATAAAGTGATGTGTTTTAATTGACTTTCAGTGTGTGTGTGCGTGTGTGTGTTTATATATATACATATATATGTGCGTGTGATGTCCCCTCAGGTCGAACAACTAGAGGGAGCCCCAGCTCCAGCTGGGGGTGGTGGTGGAACAGAGGTATTTCGCGAGGCAGTGCCTGGAGACATGGAGGAATCCAGATGAGTCAGATCAACAATCAAGGCACAACCCAGCTGGGCCTGGTTAGGAATCCAGTTGCCACTCTACAAAGAGGGAGAAAATACACTCCATGAGAGAATGAGGAAAAACGGGCAACTCAAACAGAGGTTGCTTGTGGTAGGCTGGAGAACACGAAGAACAGTCTTTTGTGAGCTGGAATGAACCTTTTCATTGTTCGTGTTTTTACCAGAGATGAAAACCAGCAGGAGAGGTGAAAAAATCCACTAATTCTCCAGACCAGGAGGAAATTTAGTTACTTTTGGGCTCCCTCGCCCTTTTTCCTTTGTTATTTCTAAATGAATCCATTTGTTTAAACCCTGAAAGGTCTTCTCTTGAGCCTCATTCCCCCACGTATGGTGGAGAATGCCGGCACTGTAGATCTCTACGCCCACCAAGGAATAATGGAAGGGGCCACCGCAATGCTGGTAAAAGGCCAGGCAGAACTGCAAGTCGCCCTGGCAAAGCTGCCCCTCAAGGAGTCCCAGGGCCCCAAAGGAGGAACTCACAAAAATGACAGTGGGTAAAGGCATTCATTAACCTCAAATAAATATTAAATGGGTGTGATGGCACAAGGTCAGTTGTAGCCTTGCGTCGTGATGCGTATTAGCTATGTAAGTTCATAGCTAGGTGCCTGAACGATGGCTTTGTAAGCCTGGTCTATTATCAAACAGCGTTGCATATCAATGATGCTGGATTAAGAAAGTTCTGGCATGTGACATGAATCTCATTAATAATGTCAAATGCAGTCACAGGGCTGGCATTAAGCAAAAATAACTGCGTAGCAAAAACGTTACACAGTCTCTAGAAGTCTGTAGCATTTTTCAAAACTGTGTAGCAAAAATAAAACTAAACAAAAATATCTGTATATGCATTTTAACTCTTTATTTACAACTCTTAGAACACTTAGCTAACAGTAGTAACACTAATCAACATAGCCCAATGAAGACCAAGGCAGTGGAGTCACAGTAGCATTGCAGTGTTAAACCTACTTGGACTTACCAACTGGGTCCCACTTACAGCTAACATGTAGTAACTCAGTAACTTAAAAGGAATTAGTAAGTTTTAGTTGGTTCTACCTAAGCCACTTACATGGCTCAGGCTGTGAATAGTGAATATTCAGGACTGATTTTTATCATACAGAATATTTTTACTGTGAAAGAAACTATTACTTTAATTATGAAGCAAGATGAACATTTAATTATTAAAATAAAAATGGTTATAATCTAGAATAAAGCGCACTACAGGAATTCAAGGTACAAATACAAATGTATATGTGTTCAAGATATGAAAATATTATTCCTAAGACATAAATATACAACTCTTTTATGTATATTTACAGTTAATTTAAATTCAATTTTTTGAATTTTAACTATTAAGAATTTCCTGACAACAAACACCCGTAAACAAAATAATTTATTAAAGGAGACCTATTTTGCTATATTTCAAAATTTATATTTTGATCTCGGACTCCTCTAGAGTACTCCTGATCGTTCCAAAACAGGGTCTTGTTTAGCTCATACTGCCATCCTCAAAAAAACCAATTTGCAGTCCATTGTAGTCTCTGCCTGAAACGCCTCGTTGGGGTGGCTCGTCTGCTATAGCCCCCACTCCCCGTGTGCCCACTTTCTTCTGACAGGCCAGCTCAGTGGAGGGCGGAGTTGGGCGGGACAAGGCAGCAGAACGCAGTTTTCCGGGTCCTCCTCCCAAGAGTGAAAGGTGATACACTGCTGCAATCTGATAAGGAAGCGGCGGGTAAATTCCGCAATCTAATGCAGTACATGTGTATAGATCTAATGAAATGAACTTGTTCTAATAAATGCAGCGGCGAAAGTGGAGGACGCAGTGCGAAAGTCTGGCAGCTCAAGCACGAATTTGCTATCGGCTACAGTTTGCTACGGCAACAGTGGTGAGTGCAGCGGTTTTTCTACTATATAGCTAGGATGCAGGGAAAGCTAGAATCCACCCCATATAGACACATTTGTAGAACTGGTCGACATGCCCAAGTTTAGACCGGAGACCGTAGAAATCCGGTGGGTCTGAGTTTAGAGGGAAACATGGACAGTGAGGAGCAGCTAAAAGTGGACCAACAGCTTTTGGACTGCTTCGGTGTGTATTAGGACCTGCTGGTTCGTGTGCATGGCTGTGGTGTGTTGTTAGCGTGGAGAAACGAACAGCTTCCGCGCTGGTATATGACGGAGGGGCGAAAGCTCCAGGATTAACGGCCTTTTCGGAAATTGCCTGTGGTAATGGTTTACTTATTGCTTCGGAATGACCAGCTTTTCCTCACGGAAAATGGGCACGTTATGGATAGTGTGCGAGTGCTAGACAGAGCTCCGGTTATGTCATGAACATAATACAGGTTTTACAGACCGTAAGTTCCGTTTGCGTGAACCGTTGCTTATGTGGAGCTAGCGAATTGATCACTTTTACAGGAAAGAATTTAATATTCAATCGATGGCAATGCAGTGAAATCATTTGTTATACCGGACACATTATAGCCTGTGCGCTTCCCTATTGCTTTCACCGGTAGCATCAGAGAGCTTGCCCAGACATTGGAGATGTATCAGGCTGACCCCGGTCATGGATAAGTAAAGCGATCGTTTCACAAGCACCCAAAAACGCACCCCAAGCTCTGCAAAACCTACGTCTGGTCTAACTGCAGCCCAACTCGGCAGACACATACAGCACCTCTCCGGTCAGCTTCAACTGTAGTGGCTACAATCAGGCAACGTTATGATGAAACTGTCACATTGATGCTTACCGAAGTAACACAAGCATACCGATCATAATTGCTGCATATAAGTTAACCAAGAGCATTTTTAATTAGCAGAGCATGCGAACTAACATGCAGTAGCTTATAAGCGGTCATGACTTTGAATGTAATCTGTCGCGCAAAAAATTCGTTTCGCGTCCGGTGTGAAAGCTGCTTAACGCGCCCATAACGCGTGCGTTCGCGTCTTTGCATTGACTTTGAATGTAACCTGACGCGCGAAAAATTAGTTTCGCGTCTGGTGTGAAAGCTGCTTAATGCGCCCATAACGCCTGTATTTGCGTCTTTGCATTGACTTTTAATGTAGCTAATCTGTCGCGCGAAAAATTTGTTTCGCGTCCGTTGTGAAAGCGGCTTGACGTGCCCATAACGCGTGCATTCGCATTTTTGCATTGACTTTGAATGTAATCAGTCGCGTGAAAAATTAGTTTCGGGTCTGGTGTGAAAGCTGCTTAACGCGCCATAACGAGTGTATTCGCGTCTTTGCATTGACTTTGAATGTAGGCTAATCTGTCCCGCGAAAAATTTGTTTCGTGTCCGATGTGAAAGCAGCTTTATGGATAGTACGCGACAGCTAGAGAGAGCTCGGTTATGTTATGAACATAATACAGGTTTTGCAGACCGTAAGTTTAGTTAGCGCGGACAAGTTGCTTATGTGGAGCTAGCGAATCGATCACTTCTACAGGAAAGAATTACCTATTTAATCTCTGCCTTTTTCGGCTTTTTAT